CCAGTCTAGACCACACCCAACCGATAGGCTACGGCTAGATGTAAACGTCCCAACGCATCCCAAAAACATACTAGCCATGGCTTCTTGGCTTCTTGCCATTCGCCTTCCATGCATTCCCTTCTACCTTCTGGACCGCGCCCCCCCAAAAAAGGGCCCGATTCCATCTAGTTGCTTGTTGGCCTGCTTGTCGGCCGGCAACCCTTTCATGCACAAAGCAGGAGTTACATGCTCCATGTCACGGTACTCGTACGGCAAATGCAGTTGGACTGGTTTTTTTCTTCGGGGCTATCCAACTACCGGCACGCACGCAGAATCGACGTGTTCGCCCCCAGTTCGAGTCATAGCCGACTGCCAACACGCTTGATATATCGTCATGCCCTTCCTTCCCCAATGCACGCCACCGTGTACGTACATGGTCCCGAAACAGGCAGCTGGCTGCCTAATGACTCCCGCGCCTTGTTTCAATCTTCATGTACAGTGACATGTCCAAAGTTACTGCTTTCACAAACGACGCAGAACATACCCCTCGCTCAGCACGTTCCAGACAAGTCATGTGGTGGTAAGTAACACAAATCAGTGTAGCCACACTAGACTTGTCGGATCGTCTTCTCATTCTGCTCTATCGAAAATTTAGTGTACCAAACTACCTTCTCCGTCACAATTCTCGGTAAGACAACGGCATAACAAAAGTGGGTACGCTTGGCAGGAACAAGAACATGTTCGTCAACATCAACCTACACCATGCCCGGCTTCAACGCTATACTCGTCCTCTCTGTAGACCGCAGCACATCTAGCTTCAAGAAACCTCATATTTGGTTTTCTCCATAACAAGCAGTACCAATTAATGTCTAGAAAATTCTACACTCGAGATCTGTTGACTAGCAGTGAACAAGACATAATCCTGCCATGAACTAACTCAATGTCACTACTACTATTACCACCACCACCACCACCACCACCACCACAACTAATCATCCAATCATCCAATGTCCCATTCTATTCAACTGCAACATTACCCCGTCCACCTACCTACTCCATCATCCTGCGCTCAACACGCCCGATTCTCGGCGGCGTCTCATTCATCATGATCCGGTGCTGCTCCTCATCGCCATACCGCGCAGCCACATTGGCCTCCTCGCGCCGCATCACCATGCCATCCCCATCGTTCTCCTGATCACGCTGTTCTGGTCGAATCCGCCGATACGTCCGCCCCGTTGCTGCCGCCGTGGCTCGAATGAGTGACGACTGCGTGTATCTGCTCGTAGTCCCACTGCCTTGCTCAAACGAAGCAAGAGCACTCAGAGGACCATCACGCCTTGGTTGCAGGCTCAGAGAGCTAGATCCCCATCGATACATGCCTACAGGCCCGTGGCTTGCAAACTCGGCCCTATACTGGCCCGATGGCTGTCGTGGTGACCACCTCGGTGCTTCGGCCTCGACAACGACGTGGTGACTCTGCACCTGAAACTCGTGTTGCAGCGGGTGCATGTGTAGCGTGCTTGCTGAACGAGAGACCTCTCCGCCGCGTGGCATACCCGTCGTTGCCGAACCATGCGCAGAGTAATCGCGAGATCGATTGGATGCATCATGCGGGGCCGCGGGCGGCACCGCACTGTAACGGGATGATGACATCTCACTGCCTCCTATAGCGCCAGAGTACGTGGTGTAAGGTGGACTCTGCAAGCGTTGGTATGCCGCTCTGTGCACCGGCACTCGGCCATAACGGGCTGCATCTCCATGATTGACTGCCACTGAAACTGGTGCGTTTTCACTCGAGCGTTGTTCCATCCTGAGCGATGGACTTGGCCTGAGAAAAGTGGGCGAATTACCCCTGGTAGAGAGCGAGGGATTGGCGGGGTTGGCATACGTAGGAGAGTTGAGCAAGGCATGCTGAGTGTGTACACGACGCTGATAGTGCTCTGCATACGGATCCAGAGGTGATTGCAAATCATGGACGGCAGCAGTGGCAGCTTCGACATAGCCTCCTGAAATCTGCCTCGAGTCGCCTGATGTCGGTGACGAGGAGGTGCCATCATTCTGCATCCGTGTATATGGCATAGACGGAAGAGGCGAAGGTCCATGTGGCCTGGTCCTGACGCCATCCAGCTGAGGAGAAGGAGATGCACCATCTCGTGAATGCTCACTACTTGGGAACCGCGTGTCCGAACAAAGTGACCCATACCAGGAATAACCTGTACTGGCGCTGGTAGCGTCACTGCCGCGCTCTCGGGGTCTCACGCTTGTATGGTCCGATTGTCTCACGCCTCCCACAGTGCTTGAGAAATTCCTTGGATCAAGTGTTGAATGATCATTGCTGGTCAAGCTGTAAGAGTCCCTGTGGCGTCTGGTGAAGTGTTCTGGCACTGCTCGTGTCCTGAACACGTCGTCAGATGGGTCGCTTAGACTTGCGACACTGGACAATGGCGTGGCTCCCGATGACAGGCTTCGTGTAATAGCTGGCTGAAGACCACTACTGCGACGCGGTTCACTATTTGGCAGGCGCTTCTGGGAATGGCAGTGTGTCCGTCTCGGGGTCTGAGTCAAGGAGCCATTTGAGCGGAAGGTCGAGTTGTTAGAGCTAGGATTAGTCGGTGATTTGGTGGGGTCTCCTGGGGACACTTGATGGGCAGGTGAGGCGAGTTTCTGTACCTGATGTAATGGCGAATGCTCACGGATGATGTCTCGACGACCATTATGACCTTGAGCAATACCTGCTAGACTTCCACCACCTCGCAACCCTGGGGTGTTGCTAGCAAAGTCGGTTGAGGGCAATCGTGCAGGTTGTCCATTACTACTATCGATAGTCCCAGTGGGTCCAGACGTTGCGGCGCCAGGTAGTGGATCTGAGGGTAGATTGGAAGCGCTCTCACCTTGTTCATCAGAAGTGATGTGTGTGTCTAGTGCTTGGCCGTCCGGCCTAGGGCGGAATGGAAGCTGCATGGTATGTGATACCGGCGAGACTGGTGGAACTGCTTCATCACTTCCCTCAGGCATGTGGTGGGGCAAAGCTGCATGGCTGTTATCATGGCCTAGTGGTACAGTCTGTTGCTGGTTGTGCACGTGCTCTTCCTCATTGACAGAATCGAAGACGGCTTGCTGGGGCTGCAAGGCGGGAATGCTACCGGGGGCAGTGATGGCATCACGGGTAGACCTCTGCGGGCCACGTCGCAGGATGGGCCGGCCGGGCTGTCCGTGAGGGCGCATTGCCCAGTGTTGTCGTGCTGTTGGTGTCTGCTTGAGGGAGATGCGGCGGAATGTCTCGTCAACGTCGTCTGGAGTCAGGGCAAGCTCTGATGGGCGCAAACGTAGCATAATGAGCCAACTTTGGACGAGCAAACGGCAATCGCCTGAGGGGTCTGGCAAAGGGGTATTCTAGGGTCCAACAGCGAAGGGTCTCAGCATGGTGGTGAACCGGATGGAACTGGTTCGAGACGTGCTGTACGCTGGCCATGAGCCACTGGCATTTCCAATGCCATTGCTATTGCTATTGCTATTGCTGCGGCCATTGCCATTGCCTTATCCATGGCCATCTCTCCATTGCCGTTGCCTGGTGTTGCACAGGGTCTCGGGAAGTTCCATGGGCGGTGCAGTGCTGCGCGAACAGCGATGCATGACGCCGTACCTTCCTCGCCGTACCTGGTGCTCGTGGGCATCCATGATAGCAGCAGAAAACCGGCAGACGTGGTGGGCGTGCATGGTGGAGAGAGATGGATGAGTAGACGGATAGACGGCGCATGGTGTGGTCGAGGTGTTGTCAGGCCGTCAGCCATTTGCCGAGACATGGCATCACCGAGCGTCTGGGAGCACCACGGCCAGCAGCAGCCGCAGCAGCAGCAGCAGCGCCATACGAACCTCACCTCGCCGCATCTCGTCCCAATCCACCCCCAACCCATCGACCGGCCTCTGGGGCCCCTGCCATGCCTCCGCTGCACCCTCGTATCCCGCACGCTAATCGAGGCTCCTTTGACGCGCCGCGGGTGGTCCCTTCGCTACCTGCAACCCTTCGCTCGTTTACCGCCAGTGCAGCCCACCGGCCGCCACGATGAATGGCGACCTGAGCCTGTCGCAGACGCTCGGCGGACTGCGCATTGCCAATCCAGACGAGGACGACGACGCTCCCTCGCCTCCCCCAACCAACCCCCAGCTGCTCCCCCAGTCCTCAGATGCCCCAGACGCTCCGCCGCAGCTCCCGCAACCCGCGTCGTCATCAGCATCAGCATCACCACCACCCTCACCACTACCGCCCTCGCGCGCCTCGTCCTCGGCCACCGTCACCGACAGGCAGCAGCAGCAGCAGCAGCAGCAGCAGTACCTCCAGCACCCCCAGCACCACTCGCCCCTCGCCTCGTACGACCCCGCCTCATCTTACGCGTCCATAGACGAGGAGCCCGCCGCCTCAGACTCGCTTTCTGTCAACCACAATGCCTATGCCTCGTCACCCTCAGGCTCGCCCGCTGCATTTCCCTCCCCCTTAGCAGAGACGTCGTCGCTGTCATCGCATTCGCCGCGCCTGTCCCACCGCCAGTCGATGCCCCTGGCCCAGCAGGCACAGCAAGCACAGCATCAGGCTGTCTATCCCGCCTACGCCGCCGCCCCGTTGCTGCAGCAGCAGCGCAGCGCCGTGCCCACGTCGCAGCCCATGCGAGAACGCCCCGTGTCCACGAGCATGTACCAACATCCCAACCTCTCCACCTCGTCCACCACCGCCCCTGGCACATACCGCTACAACGACGAAGCAATGGCCACGGACATTCGCCGTACTGCGAGCTCCCGAGTCGCCCCGGGTGCCATGCCCACAAGAGAACACAGCAGACGGGATCCCTACCGCCAGTCCGCACAAATGTCGGCTATCAACGGGCCTCTCCCGCCTCGGAGAAGCTCGCGGCGGGTGCCCATGGAAGCACACCATCCCGGGGCATCCCAATTATCCAGCTCTCCGTACAGCGTCGAGGGCGGGCCGCTCTCAAGTAGCGAGGAGTGGAAAGAGCGGGGTGCTGCTGTGAGCACTAGACAGGACCTAGATCAGAATGGCAGGCCAATCACCCGCGTGGTGAAAAAGGGCGTCAAGGACTTCAACTTTGGTAGGACATTGGGTGAAGGTTCCTACAGTACTGTCTTGGCAGCAACAGATCGCCAGACACTGCGCGAATACGCAATCAAGGTGCTCGACAAGCGCCATATCATTAAGGAGAAGAAGGTCAAATACGTGAACATTGAGAAGGATACGCTCAACCGCTTGACGGAGCACCCTGGCATTGTCCGACTCTACTATACCTTCCAGGACGAGCGCTCATTGTACTTTGTCCTCGACTTGGCATCTGGTGGTGAATTGCTGGGCTTCCTCAAGAAGATGGGCACATTTGACGTGGAGTGCACACGGTTCTACGGAGCCCAAATACTGGACGCAATCGACTACATGCACAACAAAGGCGTAATACACCGAGATCTGAAGCCTGAGAATGTCCTCCTCGACGATGCAATGCATGTCAAGATTACGGATTTTGGTACGGCAAAGATACTAGACCAGAAGAGATCAAACGGTGCCGGGTCAAGTAGTGACCCTCTAGATACCAGCGAGTCGGACCGCGCGCAATCGTTTGTGGGAACTGCGGAATATGTGTCGCCAGAACTACTCACAGATAAGAATGCGTGCAAAGCGAGCGATCTCTGGGCGTTTGGCTGCATCATTTACCAACTACTTGCCGGAAGACCTCCGTTCAAGGCTGCAAACGAATACATGACATTTCAGAAAATTGTCGGACTCGAATACTCCTTCCCAGACGGTTTCCCTCCACTAGCAAAAGACCTGGTTGAGCGACTGCTGGTTCTGGATCCATTGACACGACTGCCTATGGAGCATATTAAGAATCATGCCTTTTTTGATGGTATCCAATGGGGCAAGGGGCTGTGGAAGCAAAAGGCTCCGCGCCTCAAGTCCTACAGCGCGCCCCCACAAGAACCAATCAAGCTCAATGGTATGTATAATCGGTTCCTTCATATAAATGCAACGAAGCAACTAATATCGTTTCAGGACCCTCCGCACCCGTAGCAACAGCTCCCAGTCAACCCCAGGCGCGACCAAAGCCACGGCTCATCACCGAACTACCCCCTCCCTCTCAGCTCGACATCGACTGGTCTCCAGTCCTCACAAAGCGAGACGAACGAATATTGAAGCTTGGAAACATGTTTGTCACACAGCATCCTCCTGGTCACGTTGTCGGCGCAAAGGAAGAGCCAGCAGAGCCACCCAAGAAGTTCTCACGCTTTTTCGGTGGAAATACTGTCAAGAAGCGACAGCGACTCGTAATGATTACGTCCAACGCTCGCGTTCTCATGTGCGCAGCAGGCACAAACGACAAGAAGCTCAAGGAAGAGGTATCATTGCTCTCAGCAGGCTGTTCATGGAGATCATTCCAGGACTCCAAGGGCCTTACTGCTTGGCTCGTAGAAACAGTACGTTGTAGAGATCCTCCAACATTGCAATCCCAGCTGACAAACTATAGCGAGACAAGCAGTATGTCTTTGAAGACACCAAAAGCACCACCAGCGATCCCGAGGGCAGCAAGTACTCTACCCAAGAATGGCTGGATAGCATCGAACAAGCTCGGGACTATGCCTTTTCACAAACAATGTCGAATTCGTACTCTGCTGATGCAAGTCTGAGTGAGCTCGTCTCAAACCACACCACTCCCACCAGTACGTTGGGAGCTGACTCTGCCCTCGAGAGCGTGAACATTCCCGCCTCCCGCCACGGCCATCTTCGCAAAGAAGGCGATACTGACTCAGTAAAGGGTAGGAAGCGCTTTAGCAAACGCCACTCAAGGAATGGACTGGCAAACTTTTGAGAGCGGAAGACGACAAAGCTCGGAACCTATGGGAATGCAGATATCCCGCCTCCAGGTGCTTTCTTCGCAATACCATGCACAAACGACCATGCAACTACATCTGAACATACTCCTACGTAAACCACAAGTGGTTAAAAAAACTTGACTTCAGCTCCAGTGCAACCCAGGCTCATGGGTATCTCTCGATACAGCGCACGGCGTTTATGGCGTCCATTTCCTAGCGTCAGTTATCTTACCTCATCCGATCATCGCCATCATCAATTTCTTTTGTTTCCCATTCTACAGGTACGGCATTCCAACGTTCCATCTGCCAACAAGCGATATTTGTCGGATTCGGATTATCTTTGCATTTAGCGGCTGCAGCTTTTTTCCGCCGTGGCTTTTCGTTTTTTTTTTCATACACATTCGGCTCGACTTTTTTTTCAACAAGACTCGGATTTTCTCTTCGGCTGTCGCTCAGATGATGTAAGTGAGGCGACAGCATTCTTCCCCTTCGTCCACCTCTACTACTATTACTTTTTCTTTTCATCTTCTTCTTTTCCATGCAAGGTTGGTTCGGAGAGACGCGTGCTTTCGGTAGACTTTGAAGCAAGAATGTATTGTCGGTGTGTTGGGAAAGGTGATTTTTATCCTTGCAGTCGGAGCTTCGTGGTTTAGGAGCAGGACGAGAGGAAGGTGGGGAGGGAGGAGAAGCGGCGAGGGGTAGAAGCGGTGGGAGGCGAGGAGGAGGTAGTAGTAGAAGGGAGGGTTAGTTTGGTACATGTACACCCATGTTTTGGCGCTCGGGGTGGTGAGGTCGAGGCCAATTAAAAAGAGAACTTGTAATGCAAATTTTTCGTGGCTGGTTATACATAGGACCAAGCGTTGTTGATACTGGTGTTTGTCTGCCATTCAGTCTTTGTTGATGGAGTGATGCTTGTTTATACACATTAATGGATGGGTGTAAAACCATTGATCTTTTTTTTTGTCTCTAGTGAGATGGGTGCATCTATTTCAAAAAAAAAATTTGCAAATACACGGTAAGATTTCAAATATCTATCCACTGCTCTTAATGATGTCCATTATAAAAATTCTAAAATGATTGGCATTTGCAATTACGTAGAAAATGAACTCTCTCATATTGTAGAGTAATATTCTCGATTGTAGTCTTTAGAGCTATAGTTATTGAAATATACAGCAAAGCAAAGATACATCATACACTTGTGTTAGTAGTCACACTTATTCTACTTTACAAATCAGGAAAACACCAAAGGAATAATTTAAATAAAGTAGTTAGTGGGTGCTGGAAACATATAGTACTCCCAAACATGATCTTTGTTAAATTATAACTAAGTGATTTGGTGTTGCGTGTTATTTTTTTCAAGGGTTAAAATGAATATTTATTTCCTCTTTGTTATTTGATAACAAGGGAAGAAAGAAAAATATGCATGATAAGTATATTTGAAATGATGAAACTTGAAGAAAGTACAGCGATGATGTACAACAACAGATCGTAGCACTCACAACAACACCTATTGTGGATGTTAAACAGCAACAGCATCACAGCCTTCGCAAAAACAAACAAACAAACACAGATATAGCTAGAAGTCGGACTACGGCATGTCGGCCCGTATCCAAAAAGAAGTTATATTCATCATGATCATAGAGTTTGTCTACTCTTTTTTACTTAAAAGCTAAAAGGAAAAAAGAAGCTAAAGATACAACTAAAAAAAAACAGTATGCACACACGTACGAGCGAAAAAAAAGACGCTAGACCGTACATGCATACATAGGTACAAGAAATAAAGATAAAAAAAAGATTCGTCGTCAGCCCGGCCATCAAGCAGGGGTGGGTATACATCCTTTGCCTAATTTCCAATTTGTGGAAAAAGGAAATGAGATGGTCATCATATAAAAGCAGAGGAAAAAGAAAAACGCTAACAGATACTAATCCCCAAAGTTACCTGATACACACATATCCTTCTCTTCATCTTTGGGGCATTTCTCTCGCGGAAACAAGAAAGAAAGACTAATAAGCATCACCGAAGATTTCCTTTGGCGTCTGAACCATTTCTTCTCCACCACGGCGTCTCCTTGCGTCCATCTTCTTCTCCATCTTGCGGTCACGCCTTGTAGTCAGATGAGGTGTCACAGGCGTGACGGGCGTAAATGGCATATAAGGACTGTAGGGTGTAAAAGGGACACCGGTCTTGGGAGTGCCCAAGGCCAGTCTGTCGACGCGGCGGTCGAGCACCGTGGTTTGGATGCCAGGAGAGTTGAGAGGTGATGAAAAGGAACGGAGCGGGAGGGATTGGTTGGGTGATGTGGCGGTTTTTTGTTTCGACGGTGGTGGTGGGGTGGAGATGGTGAGGCCGAGGTTGTTGGACGTAGTTGAGCTTCCGCGGCGATGGGGAGCGGGGTGAGGTAGTGGTTGGACTTGATCCAGGCTTTCGTCGGCGTCATAAGGCGATGTTGGCGAGTTTGTTTGAGTTGGGGGCGATGGCGGAGCACCAGGGGCGTAGAAGCGAGGGGTTAGAGGCCGTCGAGCTTCATCGTCATCATCTGCGCCAGGGTACTTCGCAATGGGGCCGGAAATGCGCAGATTCTTAAGGTTGAAGCGCGTATTCTTACTGCTTGTTGTAGCATTTGATGTTTGCGAGCGCTTGGAGAGGATGCTGCGGGGGCTTGCAGGGGCTGGTTGTTCTGCGCGGAGACGGTCACGTGTGTTTGATGCGGTTGTCGGTCTATCGTGGTGGCCTGGAGGGTAAATGGCTCGAACAGGAGATGCAGGGCTATCGTAGTTGTCTTGAGAACGTGCGACACTAATGGCCGACGGTCTTCTCCGGTCAGTAGGCGGTGGGAGAGGCTCTGCCTCGTCTACACTGGCTCTGGCGGATTGTTTCTTTGCGTCAAACTCCATGACGGCAGCATAGAGGCGCTCCATGTCGGCTTGATCTTGGTCGCGATGAGCGTCGAGAACCTTTTGATCAAAAGAATTGGGCGATTGGACGACAGGGCTTTGGGGGCTGCTGGGAACAGAGTCGTTCTTCTTGAATTTCTTCAACCACGATCGTGCAGACAGTGGGGGTGATGTGAGACCAGGAGTCTTGATGGTCGGTCTTGTTGGCTTGTTTTCCAATTCCAGCTCCAGCTCCTTGGGCGGCGCGAGTGCCTTTCGTCTCATCTTTCTGCCAACAGTGAGGAGTAAGACGCCCCAAATAAGTACTGTGAAGAGGTAGCCGCCAACGATACCACAGATTTCGTAGGGTAAAACACTCTTGTCTCGGATAGCGTGATATGAAGCAGGAGGGCCGTCTTCAGGCGCCGGGGCGGGGTCGCGGTAGTTGTCTGTGAAGTCGTAGGGTGCAGCAGAAACACCAGTTGCAACAAGGAGGAGGGATAACAGGGCTGGTGGAAGAGCCCTTTCGAGCATGGCTCCGGGTGGGATGGAGTCAAGGAAATATAAGCAAAGAAATAGGAAAGAGAGGGGGTACGTCTATCTTTTCTCGCACTGCCAGGATAAGCGATGATCTAGGGCTGCAGTCACACAGGTTGGTTGCCCACTTCCCGACAGTGAGGAACCGGGTGAAATGCAGAGCGTAGCAGGAGGCGACATGGTGATATGAAGAGGGATTCGCAGCGGGTAAGTACTCTCTGATCAGCGGTCTGCAAGTGGTCGGGCACAAGAGGCGGACGACTGGGTGTGATGGCTTGGAAGAGGCCAGGCGGGGGCGTGATTGGGCGGGCGCTATGCTGAGCGACATGCAGGCGTCCAGTGGATGCACTCAATCAGCCGCTGGAGCGGGGTCGCTTGGCTGTGCGCTAGGCCCAGACGGGACCGAGGCCGATGAATGCAATGGCTTGCCATGCCAATCTATTGCTCTTGTTCTCTCCGAGTGGCTGTTGCCAAAATAGAATGTGATGAGGCTTTCCGTGTGGGCATGAGCGTGGTGCCGGCGTCGTCATGGCCTTTTCTCTCCGCATGTGTCGGCAGTTGGTCGTCGAGACAAGCATTCGGCGAAGAAACATGTTTATCCGCCTCGCCCCCAACGCTCGACCTGGCTTGAAACAAGTGCATGCAACCCAGCCTCCAGGACCGAGGGCGATCTTGCTGCCAACTCGAGGCACAGTCGACGGGAGGAGACGGTCCGCATGCATGAACGGCGTGCCCTGTGCCTGCAGCGTCGAAGAATATGCTCCTGCTCCCCCGCGCTCCCATTGGCCAGACTAGAGCCTTGCTAAGCGCCCGGCCAAGCCAATCAGCACACCGTCGGCCCATGGCACTAGCAGTCACATCGCCTCGCCTGTGCTAGTGCCAGCATCTCAATCATCAACCATCTCGCCAGTCCACCATTGTCACTTCACGCCTTGCGTCTGGCCTCGTGGGTTGCAAATTCTCCGCAATCCTCGTCACATTTCCCACGTTGTCATGCAATCATGTGCCGTGCCTCACCGACTCGCCCTGCAGTACTAAGCTCCCAGGGCCCCCATTGACCACCCGCACCACCGCATCACCGCCGTCTTTCTGCGACCACACGCTGCATTGGCTGTATCTTTTGCATTTCAACGATTCATGCAAGCCTCCGCCACTTCAAGAGGACGCCTTACGCGCGTCTGATTTCACACGGGTGGGTCACTAACACGCAAGTCGTCAGGGGAAACAAGTGCTCTGAACCCCGTCAACATGATGACGGCCGCTTCCATTTCCACTCCCAGTCCACGTACATACCTACGCCCGGCCGCGTGCCGACATGTCACTATCACTGCCTAGGCATGCATCAGACCGATGCTGGATTAGCGAATGCTAGCACACATATCTGCCCATCAGAGGCTATAGAGGCTTACCCTGCCAGAATCCCACTACCCAATTGCATCTTCCACTCCAAACTCTCCTCGAGCACACCGATAACGCCGTCAGCTTCACTTGCCCTCGGCCTTGGCAATGAGCACTTCGCCCAGGTCTATCGGATCCCACACGCTCTTATCTTTCTTGTTCTGCACCCACACATCATCATCCTTGAGATAGACCACCGCACCTCCACGTCCCGTCGCGCTTGCCGTGATGCGGAAGAGCGGTAGGGCCGTCTGCTCGTGTGCTTCACGTAGCGGAATCAAGAGGAGATTCTCCTCTTCACAAAATCGCTCTACCGTGTCCTTGAACCTGTGTTCTTGTGCTGGCGGCGCAGATGGTGCTGGCTCCTTGTTGATTGGTTTGGCCGGTCGTACCGTCTCTACAGACGGTCCAGTACTCTCGAATTGAGGCGTCGGGAGATCTGTAAACCTCGCCTCACCAAGTCTCTTTGCCTGGTTTACAAGCGAGTATGCTTTCTCCCAGCCCAATTCCACAGAGAGCACGTTACTCAGTTCATTACGCACGTCGTTCCTCCACCACCCAAGCCAAGCCCGGACTTCCTCAAACACCACCTCTTCGCTTGACACCCATTGATGAAGGACTGCGAGAAACTTGGGAAAGAAACGCGCCCGCAATAACTCGCCAATGGCTTCGTTCGATAATAGCCCTTTCCATGCAAACACAGCCTTCAGCGGTGCGACGTCTTGCTGTTCGTTAGGGTCTATTTCAAAGTAGTCTCGTACATGGGCTGCCAAGCGTGGTAGTAGATGCGAGGTAAGCAAATGATCAAACTCGCCCTTGCCAAAAAGCCTTCGCCACTGGTCCATTCCGGGCAATGGTCCCTTGGAGAGATCAATCGAGTGCAGTGCGTGACGAATCTTGCGCCTAATTTCAGCAACAAGCCCAGATCCCTTGGGATCCAGATCTGCAGGCCGGAGGAACGGAAGCCACTCAATCACCCAAGTGTGTGGGCTCTTCTTGAACTTCCGAGGATTCCATTCATGAATAGAAGTCGATAGTTTCCGCGTAACCTGCTCAAGCACTCGTTTGCCTATAAAGGGTGGAAGAACCGGTGTCCACACTTCTACCAAACGCAATAGGGGACGCGGATGCTTCACATCCCATTGTGTCACTGCTGAGCTGACAGGAGGAAGCCACAATTTCAGCATCATAGATTCGTATGCTGATGTAGTTCCACGCTTGATTGTATCTTCCTCTTCAACTGCATTCTGATTGACCAATGCTTCTGAAGGATGAGTGTAGGCCTGGGACACGATTCTTCTGCTTCGAGGCTGTATGATGTTGGCCAGTTCCGCAAAGGCTGCTGCCATATCTTCAAGCGCATCCTCGAGCGGGTCCCATGAAGCCGTGACCTTGGAAAAGTGTGGATGTATGACAGCGATTGACTCGCGATGCAGTGGCTTCGACGGATATGCAGCGCGCAGACTCTTGAGCCCTTCGCAGACAGCCCCAAATGTACCAATACGCAATGATTGCATTCGTGAATGCAGATCCTCAAGCTCGTCCATTTGTCGTTCCAAAGCCTCAAGCTCCTTCTGTAGTGCATATTCCTGAGGTGGAATAGACTGCGATTCGATTTGTAGTTGCTCAAAGGCTTCCGAGAAGCTGTTCAGGTCTCTCCGCACGCGTGCTTGCAACGAATTTTCAAAGGGAACAATGTCAGGGCCACGAAGCGATACGCCAGAAGCAGGAGTAGATGCGCCTGTCGTGGCATCGATGATGGACTGCAGTACGGGCGGTACATGCATTCCAGCAGCTTCCAACTCGTACAAAGTCTTCTTGGGCCGGGGAGTTGCGGTGCGTGCCTCGCCTCTAGCCTTTGCTTTTCTTTTCTTCCTCTCCTCGCGTTCCTCCTCAGACGTGTCGACATACTTTTCGCCATTCTCCTCAGCCTTGCGCCGCTCCTCGCGCTTCTGTTGTTCACTCTTCTCCGCCACTGAACCGATGCCTCCCTTGGTGCCACGATTGACGACCTGGATGGGCTCTGAGATACCGGCTCCTTCCTTTCCCAGACCACCTTCGCCCTTGTATCCCATCTTGGCAAGCATCTTCGCGCCAAAGCCCGTTTTGAGCGCGTTGCCATCCTCGACCTTTGCGCGCTTGTTCGGCTGCTGTCTGAAGCTGTGCTTCCGCTTGCCACCGTCGGCGTCCATGGTGGCGATGAATGCGAGACTGATTTATTGGTCTTGTCGTATACGGAACCAACTATCGATTGCTCGTCGCGCGTGCAGTGCACAGGGCAGTGGCCGTGTCGCCAGGTGGTCACAGCAGGAGCTTGCAATGTCTCAGACAAAGTACACGATTGCGATTCTCCCTGTGTCCACGACGCGGGTGTGTATAGGCAGTGATGGCATTGGCAGTGGATAAAATTGCGGGATGCGGAGTTAAGGCACTCGTACAAGTATTACGCTCGTAACGTGACCGCGCCAAGCAGGCGGTTAGCGTCGCGTCACCCTGGCCGGTACGCGTGCTATTATTGGAAGGGGTTTGGTTGGGACCCTATCACCCTCCATCCATGTCGGTGTCGGTGCAACAAACATTGCCAGATTCCCCTTTACGACAACCAGGTACGCATAAGTACCGACTCCCATTGTCCAGCAGTCTCCCTGCTGCCGGCTGTCCGCCATGGCCTCCACGCCTCCACCCTCGCAGCCAGTCCCCATACGCTCTCCCGATAAGCGCAACGTCGACATCCGTCACCCAGTCCCCGATCTGCAATCGCTGCAAGGGGCCTACCTGGGCAACATTGAGCGTCTCGAGGAACATGCCGAGCGCATGAGCGAGGCCGGCTCCGACCTCCAGGAAGAGATACGTAAGACGTACTCGGAACTCAAGCTGACAGACAGCCGACGTTCCTCGCTACGCTCTCTCCAGACGGGTGAAGAACTTACTAGGCGTCTTAGCAACAGGAGCCGCGGCGTCTCCATCAGTTCCCATGCCAACTCTATAGTCGACCTGAACGGCAATGCACGATGGGGGGGTTACTCTCCAGGGGGTTACATCACGTCACCCGCCGATTCTTTGCGCTCGGGATCTTTGCCTAAACCTCCGACTTCGAACCAGCGTCAGCGATCAGAATCAAAAGCGTCACGGTTGGGCCAGGTTGTACATCCAGAGCAAGTTAAAGTCAGACAAAGATACTATGCTGCCCAAACATCGTCACCCACACTGCCTCCAACTGCTCCGCCCCCCGAGGACCGTGATTCAGTATCACCCCCACAGCGAAAAGTCTCGTCCTTTACTAGGATATTTGATGATGTTGCAAATGGACTACCCGAAGACTTGCGCAATACCGTCATGACGGGCACACCTCCTAGGCACCCTGACGGTCACTATTCTGAAGACATGCATGATCAGTATCCAGACCACCGCAACCTCCCTGACCGACCACCCACCTCGGCCTCAACCGATACTACCCATCAAGCACACACACTATGGCAAGACTTTGATGGTGTTCACTGCCCAGATACTGTCAAAGAAGAATCGGAATCGTCACCCCACAGTCGCCGTCGTCATAGCCGGCCATCCTCCTACAGCCACTCATTTACGGATAATAACTCAGGCCATCAGTCTTATGGCGCTCCACCACCTGAAGATGGCATGGTCTTCTATCCTGCCCCTGTTCCACAAATGCTCAACCTTCCAAAACGTCTGTCACAACTACCCCCAAGTGATACAAGAGCCCGGCGCCGGACACAAGTTCTTGAATCGATGCAGGCGGAAAACAGGAAATCGATGCCCATGAATCCAGATAACATCATGGAGACCTCCAAGGCAAATAAGAGGAAGACGAGACAGAGTTTAATGGGCCTACCGCCTCAATTGCGAGCAAGTGCTTACTTCGACAATCAAGTGGCTCCTTCGCAGGAATTTGCCGTCAAAGGTGAATCTGCTCAAGACACACTCGAAAGCATCCTGGATGCATCTGCACGTGCACCAGTCTCTGCGTTTACCGACCATCCTTTTGGCGGCGATGTAACCCGTGAGGTTTATGGTGTAGATCACAAACGCAAGAGCTCCAAATTGCCAGAAGTGCCGCCAACACTGCAACAAACCAGGAGGCGAAGCTCTTTCAACATACTCGACACCAATCACAATGCAAATGGAGAACGCCTCAAGAAACTGAAGAAACGCAATAGCTCGGCTGATATGAACCTACTTCTGGTCAAGGCAAGTGAAAATAGGATGAGTCTAAGTGACGACTTGGACCATTGTGATGAAGAAGAACGAGGCCCTCATACTGCAAATGATTTGAACCATTCTCGAAATTCCCAGGAGAACCCGAATCGCCACTCTGATGACAATGACCGTGAACACGAGGATACTTCGAGTGATGAAGATAAAGAGGAAGAGGACGAAGAATCAGAAGAAGAAGAGGAAGAGCCCCAGTTTGGTGCACCAACTACCTTGCTAGCTGAACTTCAGCTGCGACAAGCAAAGCAAAAGTTAAGAAACATGAACTACGTCACCCTGATGGATCAAGGTCTGATTGACGGTCGCCAAACTTTGCTTCAAATGAACGATGTAGCCGAAGCTGAGAAGCAGCGCAGGATCCGCAAAAAGGTCAATCTTGCCTGGGAAGCCCCTGGAGAAGATGATGATTCTGAGGACGATGTACCGCTGGGTGTTTTGTATAAACAAGCTGCGCCAAACTATGCGCCACGCAAGATTGTGGGACTGATTGAGCAGCGCGAAATGGAGGACAACGAACCCTTGAGTCGTCGGCGAAATAGGCTTCGTGGGGCTGACCCGAGACCTCGCCAGGCTCCTCAGCCCGGACAACCTGGCCATGAACCGAATCTTGCGGTTCCAGACATCATGGCTGATCCCATCTCAGAGGAAGAGGAGGGTGAGACGCTGGCTGAGCGTATGCGTCGACTAAAGGAGAAGCAACAGCTTGATGCGGCCTTGGGAGATGATGTTCGCAAGAGCACCGTGAGCGGTGATTTTGCGGCTGAGATGATGAGCAAACTCGGTGTTTCAGAAGGCCATGATGAAGCCCAGGATGCACACAAAGCCGCGGTTGCCCCGGGTACTGGGGAGGAAGAGGAGGAGACTCTTGGTCAGCGCCGCGCCCGCCTCCAGGCTGAGGCGGCGGCCCGTGGTGACCAGATACCATCCGCTGGCCAGCGTCCCATGTTACGTGGTGCCTCTTCTCTCGCAGACATTCTCTCTGCCAATCCACTTGATCCTCACTACCAAGCGCGCAAGGTGTCAAACGAAGCACTGATTTCGAACCTCCCCCAAGGTAGTCTTCTGCGCCAAAACATTGTCGACGAGGAGCGAAGAAAGCAGGAACGTCTCACGGCATATCGGCGAACCTCTGGTTATGGACCTATGGATCCTCTGGTCCCAGGCATCGGCGACAAGGAAAAGGATGACGATGATGACAATATTCCTTTGGGCAAGAAGATCCAGGCCTACAAGGATGCCCATAATCCAATCACGAACGGGCAGATGGCTGCTAGTATCTCCAAACTCAACGCTCCGCGATCTCCGTCACCACCGCCACCTCAACCGCAGCCGCAACCACAGCTACCAGGTATGCTGGGCATGAACAGCATGGGAATGATGTCCGCACCCAACTTGAACATGCCCATGCAGCAGCCCATGATGGGCGGTGGTATGGGCATGGGGATGAACATGGGCATGCCAATGGGAATGGGAATGAACATGGGTATGATGGGTGGCGGCATGCGTCAAAGCACCATGATGGGCGGTGGAGTCGGAATGCCCATGCAGATGAATCCCATGCAAATGAATGGAATGGGCGGTATGCAAATGCCCATGCAGATGCAGATGCCCATGAGCGGTGGCATGCCAATGGGAGGTATGGGTGGCGGAATGCCTATGGGAATGCCCATGGGTATGATGCCAGGACAGATGATGGGACCGCCCATGGATCCGAGACAGAGAGACCAGATTGATCGGTGGATGTCGGGCATTAGGAACTGATCGCGCTGTCTTTTTTGTTTGCTGGTTTCTTCCCTTGTCCTTTTCGTAGTCTGAATATCTGTTTAGGCGTCGAGTATCATGTTTCTATTTTTCGTTACCAGCGTCTAGGATGGAAGTATATGGAGATATTATAGCGTAGCATAGCGTTGTCTTTTTTTTGGTTGTTCTTCTTTTTCCATCCTGCATGCAAAGAGTTTTTTCTAACAGCACAATATTTATCTGCATGTCAGCGTTTAGGGATTAGAAGGACTTGGTACCGTATATGTGCGAACAAAAGGGACTTAATATGGGATAAAAGCGTTACACAGCAACTAATGGAGCGATGAATCATAAAAAAAAAGGCATTGTTGTGATGATTCTTAGTATTCAACCCAGGTTGGTATATACACATTACTAGGCCAGATGCTGCTGTGTCCAAAAGGCCCAGCCAGTTGACAAGCTATCGGCTCTGCCTTTGCGGTGGGTCCGAACGCTTACTTGAAACGCTTCTCGGCCGCCTTCCAGTTGATGACGTTCCAGATGGCCTTGAAGTACTCAGCCTTGCGGTTCTGGTAGTCGAGGTAGTAGGCGCTAGCATGACGTTAGTATGGCACTTGTCTTTGCATTGAAGCTGTGTGAGGACTTACTGCTCCCACGCGTCGACACCAAGAATGGGACGGAACTGGCCAACCACAGGGTCCTGGTTGGCATATGTCTTGATCTGGATGCCGCCAGTCTGCGTGTCCTGTACCAGCCATGCCCATCCACTGCCTTGGATACCTGCGAGCGCGGTGTTGAACTTCTCCTTGAAAGCGTCAAGGCTGCCATAGTTGGTGTTGATGGCAGCTGCGAGAGCGCCAGATGGTGGCTCACCACCACCCTGGTTGGTGGGCGCGAGGTTCTCCCAGAAGAGAGTGTGGTTGATGTGGCCACCACCGTGAAAGTTGATGAGGGGCTGCAGGGCAATCTGAGCCTGGATATCCTGCTTCTGCTTGGCCTCGGCGATCTGCTCGCTGAAGTTGTTGAACGAGGTCACGTAGGTGTTGTGGTGGTTCTTGTGGTGTAGCTCCATGATCTTGCCCGAGATGGAGGGCTCGAGCGCGCCATAGTCGTCTGTAGCCTTGTTAGAGCAAGAAAGGAACTTATTAGTTGATAGGATGAATAGACATACATGGGAGGTCGGGCAGAGTAGCCTTTCCGCGAACAAAAGTGGTACCAGCCAGTCCAGCCCGCGAGGCGACGGGCGCGGCGGCTCGGGCAGCCGAGCGGAGGGCGGATGTGCGGAGAAGAGTGGTGTTCATTGTAGCTGCAATTGATGGGGGTAGCAAGTCAATTGGGCTTGTTAGGTGGTGTTACGGTGGTGTGTCTTGCTGTTGGGGCTCTGGGGATGTTGCTAATTTATCGCCAGACATTTCGTCATAGCAGAAGATGCCGACCGCCGAGCTTTGGAGCTCCCCCTCGTCCTTGCAACGGCTATGGGTCCCCCACCAATGATGCCGCGCTACTTGAATGGTATGAATGCATTGTGGCCATCAGTCGCGATGAGCTGATCCATGTATATGCATATCATTGTAGAGCCTCGACTGCAGATAATAACAGCCCATCACAAGAGCTGCCGCCATGTTCCCTCAATGTTGTACAACCAGCCAACCTTGCGCGGCCGTTCTCGGGCAATTGGACCAGTCAAGAGCCTTGGGGGACGGGAGGCGACACATTTTTTTGAGCGTCGCGTGCTTGCAGAGAAGACATTCTTGTGGGCTCAATTTGGAATGATTTGCTAATCAGTCATTTAGACTTCTCTGCCGTCTCACGCCATGTAGGCTGATTGAACCGCTCCCTGCGTTTTCTCGACTTTGGCCGTAGTCTACGCTCCCGACTCGTCCATTCTTCTACCCCGCCAACGTCATCATGGCACCTGTCAACGTTGTCCACCTACCCAACGGCCAGAATCTCACAGTAACGCCGGTATTTGGTGGTCTTTTCTTTAAATCCAGCGACATACAAACCCATTCGCATTTCCCGCCTGGTTGGACAGTCGTGCTCAATTCGGAAGATGAAGCTGCCAGCGAAGAACATGAGCAACAGCTGCAGCCGCAGGAGGGTGAAGAGGACCTATTTCCTCCGCGTCGTGTGCATCGGTTCAAGCGACCAACACTAACTGGCGACCATCTCTACATATCGTCCATCTCGAATCCGAGTAGCAATGAGTTTAGGCCCGCTGCGTCGCCGACGCGCCAAATCGCCATGATGCTGTGGGCGACACTGTACTGGTATTTCCACCAGCCCGAGCCAACGCTGCAGGTCACAAACACACTGTCCAAGAACACGGCTGATGCAGGCAAGCCCAAAGGAGAGTGGCGCATCAACATCAACAGAGAAGGCGTGTTCAAGGGCAGGGTCGTGCTGCCCAAGCTCGAGCGCATGGGTCTTATAGCCACTGAGGATTCAACAGTGGGCTGCGCCCAAGACGAATCCTCACCCGAAGGCTGGTCGCGCATGTTCGTTAGCCGGAGAACCTTTTGGCAGTTGGATCCCAGAATCTACCTCTTTACACTTTCGCCGTTGGCCACACCCTTTCCAACAGCTTCACCGTATCCTTCGCGACCAGCGTCACCCGCCGCTGTAGCTGACTCGAAAAAAGAACAGCAGACGGAGCAGGTCTCACAAGGCCTGTGGTCGCCCACCGCACCGGGTCCCTTCCACTCGAGCTCGCACTTACCCACCTACTATCCTCCGCCCCCAGCGCAGTATGTCTTCACGAACAATGCCCGTCACCCCATACGTCCGAAGCCACCGCGGCAGGGTGAGGTACTATACACGAGATACATTCCTAGCGTTGGGCAATACCTATCATTCCGTGTGGCTTCGCTTTCAGCAAAGGCAGTGCGTCATCAAGGTCCTGTGTCTGACCAGGTGCCTAATCCGCATCGACTGAGTGGCACTGCCGCACCCGATTCCCCGACCTCTGCGGCGAACAATGGCATGTCTGATGTGGAATACCTGCACAAGTGGATGAACGATGCCCGCGTCTCACACTTTTGGGGTGAAGCAGGCCCTCAGTCGCACCAGGAAGAATTTCTCAAGAACGGCTTGCGGTCGAAAAATTCTTTCCCTGTCATCGGGTGTTGGGATGGAAAACCTTTTGGCTACTTTGAGATCTATTGGGTCAAGGAGGATAACCTTGGCAAGTATTTGCCTATGGTTGGTGATTACGATAGAGGCTTTCATTGTTTGGTGGGCGAACAGGAGTTTCGGGGTCCGCATAGGATCAGGATATGGCTAAGCGCGCTAGTCCACTACTGTTGGCTTGCGGACAACCGGACTGAAAGAGTCATGCTCGAGCCAAGGGTCGACAACGAAAAGTAAGTATTGCGCCAGGAAAGTTGCTGTCGGAACACCATACTAATGATTATAGGCTTGCAAACTATCTTCAAGAAGCCGGCTTCTACAAAGAGCGCGAGATCAGTCTCCCTCACAAGCAGAGCAACCTATTCAAGATCAATCGCGACGTGTGGCGAGGGCCGGCACTATGAGCCCGCGGAGGCGGGAATAATTGTGGAGTTGGGCAGAGCCGCATGAACGCCCGCTTGGGGAAGAGAATTTTGTGGAGTACCCAAGGGGAGGGGAGATAGCACGGTCCAGGCTATGTTTGCGTACATAGTACTACCGTCGAATACATGAATGGACCGATGGCGTAGAAATGAAACCATTGGGTTTCAACTCATGCTACTTTACACAGTATTTCATTTGATTTTGCAACATCAGCTGCCAAAAACTTGCAAGGCAAGCGCCGATGGAAGGGGTGCGGGATTTACAAAATTCTAGGTAGGTGGTACCTGGATGCCAAGAAAAGTTGTCGAAGGCGCGCCCTGCAGCCAACCCAACAAGGTGGCGGAAGAAATCTCAGATTGCTCAGACTGTTCATTGGTATCAATCCTGTAGATACGATTTGTGAAAGGCCGGCATTAGGACGACCTGCGACATTCGGTATAACGGACCATGGACATGCGTTTCCAATTACAATGGTGCAATGCGTAGTGATGTGGGGTTTAGCGAGGTCCAAAAGTTTTTTGACTACACGTGAGATCATCACTCTTGCCCAACATACAGATAATAGATTCACCGCGATTGGCGCAAGTACACAATAGATAGAATCTGCTTTCATATCCATAGTGAACGCCACTGCCGATATACCTCCTGCCCTGGTTACTAGATTGGGCTTAACGCGGACACTACTACTTAAGTGAGCTCCTACGCAGTTTCAATCTTCACTTCTCACAATCACTTCCTCACAGAGGTTTGGTTCAGTGACATAGCCTTGCTCACTTTCAACACTAGTCCCTTACCTATATAAGGAACGATCCGGCACACTGCTAACCCACACCTGTCAACCACAAAGCACCTACAACTACCCCACACACCATGGCCTCCGGCACCTACACCACGCCCTTGACGGGCCGCTGGAGCTCTTCCGAGATGTCGCACCTCTTCTCCAAGGAGAATCGTCATTCAACTTGGCGCAAACTCTGGCTCTACCTTGCAGAGTCTGAGAAGGAGCTCGGCGTCGAGGGCATCACTGATGAAGCATTGACTCAGATGCGAGAGCATTTGACTCTCACCGAGAAGGACTTTGCTGTCGCTGCTGTTGAGGAGAAGCTGAGGAGGCACGATGTCATGGCCCACGTTCACGCTTTCGGTCAAGTTGCCCCTGCCGCTGCAGGAATCATTCACTACGGAGTAAGTCGATCGTGTTTACAATGTTGCTGCTGAGGATGCAAGAGCTGACACAATACAAGGCAACTAGCTGCTACGTGACTGATAACGCTGAGCTTCTGTTGATGCGCGATGCTCTGGATCTTCTCATTCCCAAGCTCGCCAAGGTCATTTCCAACCTCCGTTCCTTTGCCCTGAAGTGGAAGTCCGAGCCAGCACTTGCCTACACGCACCTTCAGCCTGCCCAGCTCATCACTGTCGGCAAACGCGCTGCTCATTGGGCCCAGGATCTGCTTTTCGACCTCGAGGACCTCGAGCGCGTGCGTGAGCGTCTGCTACTTCGCGGTGCTCAGGGTACTACAGGAACGCAAGCTTCTTTCTTGGAAATCTTCAAGGGAGACGGCGACAAGTGCGATCAACTCAACGAGCTGCTGTGCAAGAAGACTGGATTCCCGTCTTGCTACCCAGTCTCTTCCCAGACGTACACTAGGAAGGTTGATTTGATCGTCGCAAACGCAGTCTGCGGCCTTGGTTCGAGTGCAAAGAAGATCACCGGCGACATCCGTAACCTGGCGAGCTACAAGGAACTCGAGGAGCCTTTCGAGTCCACCCAGATCGGCTCATCGGCCATGGCCTACAAGCGCAACCCCATGCGTTCGGAGCGCGTCGCCAGCTTGTCGCGCGCACTCCTGGGCAAGCACGCAGCCTTTGCTCAGACACACGCGGACCAAGGTTTTGAGCGCACCCTCGATGACTCGGCCGTCCGTCGCATGGATATTCCCGAGATGTTCCTCCTCGCCGACGCGATCCTGCTCTCGCTCGACAATGTGACTTCTGGTCTTGTCGTATATCCCAAGCGCATTGATGCACGCATTCAGGCCGAGCTCCCCTTCATGATCACCGAGTCTATCATCATGCGCCTTGTTGCAAAGGGAGCTTCCCGCCAAGACGCCCACGAAGAAATCCGCGTGCTGTCGCACGAAGCAGGTTACCAGGTCAAGAATGAAGGCCAGGCCAACGATCTTGTCGAGCGCATCCGCAAGACTGAGTTCTTCAAGCCTATTTGGGGCGAGCTCGATGAGATGATGGATAGCAAGCTGTATATCGGACGCAGCGAGCGAATTGTTGAGAAGGTGTGTGATGACCTTGAAAAGCACTTGGCCAAGTACAAGAACTACATCGAGAACACCAAGACCAGTGAGTTGCATGTCTGAGGCACATGAGCATGCATGTCATTAGAAATACGATGCCAAGGGAAATGTGTGAGACGTGTGAAATCTGAAGGCGGGAATGTCTGGTCGGTATTATGAAGCAGAATGCATGGCGGGAAAAGGGAATTCGGTTTTATTGAAAAGGCGCATGGTGGAAAAGGGAAGGAAGCTTTATTCAAAGCAGCTGCATAGCAAATGAGGAAAAGTAATGAAACTTGTCATGAAAGTAACTCTTCTAAATCATGTGATTTCTCACCATCTACTTACTCTTAACCCCTTTGGTTGTGTAAAGAGAATTTGTGGTCAAATTTCCAGTTAGGGCATTGAACGACTTTAGTTTTCTTTTAATCGTAGTTTTTTTCGCAGATACGGAAGACTATCTGAAGTGACTGAGTATGATTGCCTGAAAATTATTTTTATAGTAGTCAATCAAGGAGAAAATCGAAAAAAAAAGCTTTTCTGGTACTAAAACTTGGAAAAAAATCCGTTTTTCTAGCCGTAGAAATCGTAAGAAAATCAATATTGATGATGAATTATTTTCTAGCAATTGGATACTCTGGTTGATTTTGGGAGAGTAAGGGATTCGAGAACGATTTCTTGGCGGATATAATTAGTTTTCGTGATGAAGTAATGTGGATAGTAGAAAGGAAAAGGGGGTTTATGTTCTGAACTCCTTGCCTACACTTTCAATGCACGAGTGAAATATATTTGAAGATAAGTAAATAGTAAAGAAGGATATACCATGATTCATTGATATGCACACCCAGGCAAAACAAGACCAACCCATTAACTCCTCTCTATGACTTTCCCTCTTCGTTCCGAAGAGCCTCCCATAAAAGATCAGGAAATGGTATAGAACAATATACAAATGGCAACGAATACGATGCTCTTCTTGAAACAGCCCCAACAAAAAACACCCACGAAATATATATATTCACAGAGAAAAGAAGTCCATCAAGTGAGAGCAAGAACAGATAACCCTAGTATTTCCTCCCCCGTCGACGCGGTAAGCCCGATTCCATACCAGTAGATGTTGGTGTCGCAATACTAGAATGAGCAACCATGACTTTCGGTGCCGGGATTCCTTTCTTCGGCGTGGCGTCCGTCAAGCCTGCAGCGCGGATAGAGTTTTCTTTCTCACCTGAGCCAGTCAATTGTGGTAAGATGACTTTTTTGGGTGCAGCGAGGCGGCTTTTGCGTTGCGTAGGGAGTGATGAGGATGATACGCCGACGGGTGCTACGTCTAGAGATGGCAGTTTGGTTTCGGAAACGCTTGAAACGCTGCTGTCGATAGAGGTGGGTGCGACGGGCATCTTCTTTACCTTAGCCACTTTTGGCTTGGGTATTTGCGGTTGTTTTTGCCGTGTTGCTTTGTCCTGGCTTGTCTCCTTTTCTTCTTGTACTGCTTCCAGAAGGAGAGATGATGGAGCGGTCAAACCCTTTGCTGGAGTGCCGTTGGCAGTGCCGAGGCCCCTGACTCTCCGGATCTTTGGTGTAGAAGTCTTGCTCGTCTTTTCCTTCTTTTTCTTCTTTGACTCAGACCCAGTGTCTGAGAAGCTCAACTCGTCTGGGGTAGCCAGCGATTCTGCCTCAGCTAGGGCATTGGCGATAGTATCCGGGTTCTCTTGGTAGTATGCTAGCTGCTCATCCCAACGTACGTTCTTGCCGACGACAATTTCCTTGGGGGTCTCATCAATTGGTGGTAGGGTCATTGCATCCATTTGAGCCTTCATCAAACGAACAATAACACCGAATGCACCTTGCTTATTCTTGCGTGTGTTTGCGCGGGTCAAGTCTGCCAGGACCTTTGCATCATCCTTTTTCAGAACAACCACTTCGTTTCCGTCATTGCGGCGGATGGCAATCTTGGGTGCTGGTGCCGGTCCGGTTGACGCCGGAGCAGGTAGCCGCGACTTCTTGGCTCTCGATGAGCGTCTTGTAGTCTTTTCGTTCGTTTCGTCTGTGTCTTCTGGTACTGTTGCGGCTGGTGTAGGTGATGGCAGAGCCTCGTTAGGTGCGCTCAGCGTGGGCGTTTGCGAAAAATCAAGCGTCAAATCGATGTTGTGTTTGGCTGGCGAGTTGGGGTCCTTTTCTTCAAGGGCCTTTCTAGGAGAGGCTAAAGCATGACGAACGACATCCGAATCGCGACGATTCTGCAACGACTCCCTTCGGTGTGTGGTGATGGCCGCCTTTTCAGCTTTGCTGGCGGCTGCACGGTTGAGAAAGTCTTTGAGCATGGCCGTGTCATCGTCGAAAGCGGCCGTTACAGTGGTATCTTCGAAACTAGAGGCTAGGCGAGGTGGAGGCGAATGAAGTTTTCGAGGCGTAGGTGAGGCGGGTTTCGACGTGCTCAACGAGAGTGCCAAGCCATCTGTAATGTCTTCTGTAGGTGCCTCGTCCATGGCATGGTCCTCGGATGTTACAGAATTGCTGTCAGTGGCGGCTTCATCAGTAGGGCTGGCCTCATCGTCCATGGAGTCGTCCTCGGAGTCATCTTCGGTGATCTGATGAACGTGTACTTGTTTGTGTAAGGGATCATCGCCTTGTGTGGCAGTAGAAGAGGTTTCCCGTATTGTTTTCCGATATTCCCTTAGGATATCTAGCTGTAGCGAGGCTTCAGTGAATTCTTCTTCCGGATCGCGTTCTTCTGAGGGGCTCGGTGTGTCTTCCTCCTCTACATCATCCTCTGCGTCTTCTGTTTCTGACTCGATTGGTAGTGCCGCTTCGGGACTTTCCTCTGTCTTAGACTCGTCTTCTTCGTGTGATGGTGAAGGCGACGAAGATTTGATCTCATTGGTTGGCAAGGCGGGGTACTGAATCTCACTTAGAGGCTCAGGCGTCTGGTCTATAGTGTTTGTATCTTGGTCTCGTAGCTCAACCTTGTCGACATTGGTCTTCTCCTTGGGCTGCTCCACAATGTCTTCCATGGCTGCTTCTGACTCCGCCTCAATGGCTTGAATCTGTGGCAGCTCGGGGTAAGAAACCTTGGCAGGAGAACGGAACAGATTGGCAAGTGTTGTATCCTCGGCAGACCGAGGATCGGTGTCTTGCTCCATGTCTTGGTGCCTATCTAAGCTCTCGCGGTCTGGAAGGTCTTCTGTGGCAGCTGCGTCCAGGTTGAATGCGAAAGCAGGCGTCCTGTACGCGTCTACTGGGTTTGCGACTGTGTCTTCTTCGCTTTGCATGGTCTCATCTGGCTCGTTGAGGCTTGCACTGTCGCCTTCTGTCAAGTCGTAGCTGTGGTCGTCTCCCTCGTCGCCGGTTGCTTCGTTGTCAGCAAAAGGAGTGGCCCGCTTTCCTGAAAGTGCGTTAGTAGATTATAGATAGCCATGCGCTGGTCAAAGGCCTACTCGGCAGCACGCTCTTCCTGCGGTCCCAGCGCGTGGCCTTGAAGGCGCGTTTCTTTGCATTGGGCCTGGTCGAGGACTTCTCCATGGCCTTGGGGCTAATGTGCTGACGCCTTTTGACGGGTCTAGAGAGCGCATCTTGCTCCTCGTCATCAGCATCGTCCTGGGGTGTGTTGTCGGCACGCGATCTTAGGTTGAATCTCCGCCAGATCTTCTTCTCCTTTCCCTGGCCAATGCGCTTGACCTCTTGCTTGCGCTCCCAGCCGCGGGGGATTTTTGCAACAGGAAGGGTGCTGGGATCGAAAAGGGCGGCATCGGCATCGTTCCAGGTGGTGTTGAAGAGTGTTGTTTTGGCAGTCGGTGTGGCGCGTTTGCGCGGCGAGGGGGCCATGACGTCGATAGGGGGAAAAGAATGCTACACGGACAGAAGATTCAAGGACGCGCAAACATGGGGGCTGTATTCGTGAGGGCCGTTAGTATCGTCGCATAGGGTTGGTGTTGTGTGGGTGCTGTATGTGTGTGTGTAAGTATGCGCTGTCTGTATGTATGTAAACAAAGGCTAAGATACGGCGCTAACATGCAAAGCAGGGATGACGACGGGGCAGCTCCGCACACGCCAAGCAAAGGCCATGCCCGCTGCGGGAAACTTTTGACCCGCCGATGATCAACGACGACGACGACAGCGACGACGACAACATCTGATTGCAATACATTCACGTCCCGGGCGACTCTGCAACAATCATGGTACCAAAGCCTCAAGGCAGTGCTGTTCAGTCGGCTACGCATCGCCCTCTCCCGCCGCTCCCTAAGCTCCGCGTCCGACGACCAAACAAGCCAGAGGTGAACCCATGCCTCGGCGCAATGTCCTCAGTTTTGGGTATGTTTTTGCTGGAGGATAATATCAGTTGGAAATCTATTATTGCAATTGGCGCAGGCTGACATGTCTGCATTAGGATGCTGGGCTTCGTCGGGTTACAGCATGCAAGCATGCGCACAGCTTGAACAGAAATTGCGCCAGTGCATGGATGCTCCAGTATGTGCACTTGCGTCTATATGCTGATGTGCATGTGATTTCTAACGAATACTCCAGCGAGACCCCAACCAAAAGAAGAACAACATCAACTACCACCTCTCGAGAATGTACCCCAAGATTGTTGGCCCTCACAAGCGCAACTAGACGGCCTGCATCTCGTTCTCTTTGTACACTACTCATACCCACGCCACGGCGGCCGCACGAAACAGCATCATGGAGGAGTTTTATCGCTTTTGGATCATCACTTGGAGTTATGGAGACAAAGGCTGTAGATAGGTCGTGCTAAGGAAGAGTCGGACGTTTGCACATGTTGTCTTGAGACCAATCTCTACTTGGAACCCTGAGCCATAATCACGTGCTGAGTACGTGCAGAATTGTGAAGCAAGGAAGAGGCCAGGCTAGGCCAAGCCATTCACGCAATCAGCCTCATGTGGCACAACACGAAAACTAGGCCAGTGCGACCAAACTCCAAGGTCCGCCCTTTGCGCACGACCATTTGTGGCTTTGTTTGTTCTGTATCGGGCCAGCGCTTACCACATTTTACTACGACTCATCACTCAAGACCCTCCAACAGCGCCCGTTTTGCGAATCGTCGTGTGTTGGTTGAGGCAATGCAACTCTTTCCCACACATTCTCCCACATGCAGAGCATCTCTTTATCTGTGTCAGCCTCGCACTTGCATGTCGATGTCCAATAAGGCGTGCTACAAATCACCTCCAGCCATCCAGGAATTATTGCAGCAGTACTCGTCTTCGTCATTTTGCATGAATATGCTGTGTCCCGTTCGCTCAACATGCCCACTTTAGCTATATTTACGTCCTGTTGATCTGCGCCACATGCACGCTCAGGCCCACCCACTCTACACCACCACCACCTCTACCAGTGCGCAATCCTACGCTTGTCCTGATCCGGCACAAATATACAATGTCGTCGTTCTATCAATGGTCAACTACTCTACTGTCTAGTCCAAGACAAGATAGCCGAGGTGTGATTGGCAAGAGGGCGAGGAATGCCTTGCATGCTCATACTGACGCTTACCCTCATGCTATGGTGACATTTGCTCATGACCGCACCACGATACCGCTTTCGATTGGATCGCCAGGGACATAGCCTAATTGCTATAGGTAGGGGAAGCTCTGGAGCTACCCTAGCTACAGCATGTGTTGCTGGGGTATTCTTCCTCGCTCTCACTGCGCTCAGCCGCCGCACGCTCTCCGCCATACTGCTTACTTATGTACCCTCTATCTTATTGCATTTCCCTCGTCATTTCAACATAGCTTTGAGAGAAGAACCTCCCGACCACATGGAAACACAATGACGATTGCTCTTTTCACCCTCGTCTTTCTGGTGCCAGCAATCGCAAACGCAGCAGCGCTGTTAAAATCGATACCAGAGCCTACACGTTTCGTCCCTTCAGTGGATATATGGGGTCCCGCACCAACAGCAGCAGCACAGCTGCCCTTGCCTCTATTGAAGCGCCAGACCAGTGGAAGCGACTACACATGCGGCTTCGTCTCCGGATCACCAGGTCAGTTTTCCTCGCCCACTCGAAGCTATCAACTTACTCACTTTGAAAAAAGACAGCCCGATAATATGCGCGAACCCAACCCAAACATGCGCGACAAACACCTTCTTCGGCATACACGGCTGCTGCAATCCAGCATCAAACACCCCCTGCACACTCGCCACCTCCTGCATCGCATCCACTGCCATGACCGCCTCATGCACAGACACCGCCTGCTCATCCGACGAAGCAATCGTAAAATGCACAGCCAGCACAGCGCAAGAATGCTACCAATGGCATTTCATCTACGACAACATGGTAATGACACAGCATGGTTGCGCCGAAACAGCATTTACAAGCACTGCGTACCGCTCCCCTGGCATGAGCATGCTATCATTGAGCAATACAAAAACCGGGGAAAGGAAGACTGTCACCGCGACTGTGACTACGAGGGAAGTTGTTTCCGGCATTCCCACTGCTGCGACGGAGGACAGAGCCTCGACAAATTCTTCTGAAGGGAAGAAAAATAGTCTAGGAGCGGTCATAGGCGGTACAGTTGGCGCTTGCATCTTCGTTTGTTTCCTCGCTTTTGTGGTTTTTCTGGCGTGGAGGCGGCGCAGGGATTTGACAGGGCAGAATGCGCAGTCCTATCGGCAACAGCAGCGGCAACAGTCAATGGTTCAGTATCATGCTGTTGTGTATGAAGATGCGAATAAGGCTTGGGATCAGCAGCGTGGGGTGGTGGTGTGTGAGAGGGAGATTTGCATGGGGGATGGCGTGGGCGTTGTCGAGATGGACGGGACGCAGAGACCTATCGAAGCGCCTACGGGAGAGAAGTGAACATCATTGGAATCATATTTTGCTGTTTCCAAATCAGAGTTGTACATGGTATCATCATTTTCAATCCAAGCCACTGATTCTGTGATAATGTATGACATTTGATGCTTCATGCAGACTATTGGATCTCGTATACTACCGTCGATAGATCCATTAAATCTCCTTTTTTTTTTAAAAAAAAAGCAACAAAAGTACAATCATCACACCCATCTACTCTTCCTCAACCTACCACATCAAATCAACCTGCTCCATCCCGATATAGTCGCCAACATTCCCCTTACCTCCATCATATCCCCCGCCCATCACACTACGCTCCTCCTCTTCCTCCTCCTCCTCTGCAGGCACCAAACTCATCGGTTGACAATCCTCAAGCGAATAATGCTGATCAGGCTTGAACCAACATTTTTTCTGCCCCGTCGGCCTGGGGCCCTTGCAATCCTCCTTTTGGCACAAGTGCCCAAAGATGCAATGCTTCCTTCTACATTCACTTTTCCTGGGACACGGAGTGCGCTTCACAACGTACTCGAGTACGCGCCTAATTTGTGCGTCGAGCTCGCTGTGGTCAAACTTGCAGTCATAAGCTGTGCAATTGCCCTCGAGATGGAACGCATTGCATGGCTTAGACTTATGAAAACGCGTGTTGTACACCTTCCAGTCCTGTGCGGAGGGCAGCGGGTAGTACGGGTCGAGGCGCTGAAGGTTTCTGTTCACGGGAATGAAGCCTGGTACGGACTCTTCGGGAAGGACGGACGAGATTCCACTTCGATCACCTAGGGGAGTTGGGGAAACCTGGGAAGCTTGAGGTGGTTCTGCGGGAGGCTGTGCCCAGGATGATTCTGAGAGAGCGTGTAGTGTTGGGCTTAGAAGTGGCTTGGAGTCCTGGCCGCTATCGCCACCATTGACACTACCAGTCAAACTGCCGGGGCCGTGTGGGAAGTTGCATTTCCCACCAGCGCGACAAAATCCCTTTTGGAAGTGTCTGCACACATTTTTCTTCTTGGTCGGTCCATTTGGCATGCTTTGTGGTGCTTGGTCGCGTGGAGGTGGACTGTCCCATCGGGCAGGCTCAGGCTCGGGCTCCACAAAGTCATTTGATTCTTCAGGTGATGAGTCGCCAAACGCAGACTCCGTTGCGCTCACCGGACCGTTACGTCTCCATGAACTCCCATGGGAAGGTTGTGGTCCATTTGTCAGTGCAGGTGATAAGCGACTGGATGCAGACTCTGCTACGCTCACAGAGTCGTTTCTTCTCCATGATTCTTTATGTAGAGCCGCTAGTCCAGGTTTCGGTATGGGTTGTTGCAATGGCGCTTTTTGTTTGGACGGAGTGGGCGTCGCCGGTTTATTGACTGGTGGGGCAGAGAATACTCCAGACCAGCTAAAGACTGTGGGAAACTGGGTCACCTCCAAGTTGAATTGATGAAATTCCGGATGCCATTTGCCGCCTTGTACGAGTGTGACCTTGTCACGTGCACCATTGTAGGATACGAGTAGAGACTGATAAGCCGGGTCGTTACAGGCCGCGAGCAAAATGTGACTACAGGCCGCATCTTCGGACGCAAACTTGAATTGGTCTGCAGGATATTAGTCGTTATCTTATAGTTGTCATAGGAAGTCAGCAACTATACCTCTGATTTTGATCCTGGTACCCTCTCCATCCAAGGTATCAACAAAGTCAAAGAGACTAAGGGCACGTGTGAAACCGGAAGTGAAAGACGCTAGAGAGCGCTTCTCCATGCCAGTCAACTTTAGCCTCGCGAGCTGCTTGGACAAATTGGTGAGATCGGCGTAAATGCGTACAATTACGCGTCTGGGCACAGTCTGTGATATGCTTTGTATATACTTTTCTATAGCATCATTGAGCTTGCGAGCAGCGCGCATGCCGCCTTCTTCCTTATCGCGGATGAGCTCTTCATTGAACTACGCAGAGTCAGACAAGTCTTTCCATGCAAAGCTGAAAACTCACAATGTAATCGTTTCCATCGACTAGTACAAGCACATAGGAATCAAGCGGCTTTTTTGCTGCATTTACAGTAGGCGTTCCCACTGTAAATGGCTTTGATATAGTGTTGGTTATCATGTCCTCGTAGGCTTTCTTAAGTACTTTGTACTCGTTGAGCAATTGACGATACTCGGCGAGAAGGTTCTAAGTGGGGGGTTAGTGGAGTACGGGAAAAGGAAGCGCATGTCGATATTCTCTTACGTCTAAATCAATCCGTCTTTCTTGATCACATTCCTTGAACTGCTCCAAACGCGCGCCAAGCGAGTCGATTTTCTTTTCTGGTAGCATAGCGGCTGTGGTGCAACGTTACTATCGGCTTACGGCTGCAGATCTACTTCAGTCAGACAGCAGGCCGATGAGTTAATGGAGTGATGAATAAGAAATCCAGATCAATTGGAACTAGTACAGCCTCATAGTCAACCACGCTATGGATATTTTATATGTGGAGCGGAGTGTGTCGGCGCGCCTGCTGGCTGACGTAGGCGGGCATTCTGCGTGGCCTGTGCAGCAATTTAGCGCCCCTTGTCGCCGTCATGTGACAGAGAAGAACCAACCTCGCTCTTTCACACTGATTTCACTTTATGCTCAAGGGAATGATCAGGCAAGAATTGCATCAAGGTCTTGAACTTGAAAATTTTGGATGTAGTCTCGAGAAAGTTGAAGCATATTTATAATATGATTAAAAAATCACAATTTATAAAAGCAGGATCAAGCTCAATTGTAGATGCAGAGCAACCCATAACAACAGTATGAACGAAAGTATGACGAGATCGCCTCTACGCTGTCACCCGAACTAACCACGAGTGTGTTTTCTTTTTGAAAAAGAAAAGCAAATAATGAGCATTGTGATGTTCGTTGTGAAAGTGGAGATAACTGATATGCCAAGACCATGCCACGTGACCAGCAGAGTGGGTGAAAAAAATGAAAAGTGCAAAACAAAAACATACGACAGCGGGGATTCGCCAGTGGTCACCCACCTGACTACTAATCCGCCGGTAAACTGTTTAACTAGGGAAGATCGGACGGGTTTCCGTGATGCCAAGAAATCCTATGGTCGTATGTGCCGTAAAAATCAGGATGGGTGTACTATATAATTATATTTTGAGTGTTTGAGGATATGGATAGATTGGATCACAGGGCTCTACAAGAATTCACAGCGCACTTGTTTATAGAGCAGACGAAAAACACGCATCACGCACGAAAACCAAAAGTTCAGACAGACGTCGATCACGACGGTCACTCCTTTTTATAGTCTCTTCTATCAATCTACACGTATCTACTGCTGTCACTACGTCTACTTCGCTACATCTTCCGTCCTTCTTACTCTTAAGCGTAGACGTATTTGATCTTGATGCGGGTAAGGCACATATCGTCGTATTTCTGGGGAGCAGTGAAGGGAGCAACGTAAACTGGAGATGTAGGGTAAGGGGGAAGAGCTGGGGAAGTGGAGGAAGCAGCAGCACCATAGGAAGCGGCATAGCCAGAGGCAGCAGCATAGCTAGAGGCAGCAGCAGAGCCAGAGGAAGCAGAGCCAGAGGGAGCAGCAGAACCAGAAGCAGCAGAGCCAGAAGCAGCAGCAGAGCCAGAGGAAGCAGCAGCGCTTGAAGTTGAAATAGCGGCAACGCCAACAGACGAGGCTTCGGGAGTAGAAGAAGCGCTGGGCGTAGGTGTGGGAGCGGCACATAGAGGGGCGGCGGCATTGACCTTTCCAACGGCCCAGGTCGAGGCGTCGTCGGTGTACTTCTCAAAGTAGCTCAAGTGCTTCGAGACGTCGTCGCCGTTTGCGCAGATGGGGTCTCCCTTAGAGCAGTAAGAGCGCAGGACGGGTGCGTATTTGTTCAGGCGTGCAAGAGAGGAGCCGTGGCGACCGTCCTTTTGTAGACCAGAGCCGTCAAGAACGTTGTATGGCTGGTTAGCCACATGCATGACATCGCCCCAGAGGAGAGCAGCAGCAACTAAGTTACCAGATTAGCACAGTTCAAGGTTCGAGTGTGTCTTGTCAAGAATACTTACTAGCATTACCAGGAGCCGAGGTAGGGTCTAGACCAGTGGTGAATTGGGAGCATCCACCAGGTCCAGCAAGAACGTCTCCCATGATCCAGGCACCCTGGGAGTAGCCATTGAGTATGAGGTGCGTGCAAGGGCACTTCTTGTTGAAGGCAGTGATCTGGGCGATACCGTTGCGGACTCCCTGCTCAATCTGTGGGCAGTAGTCGCCGCCCTTGGGGAACACAACCTCAATGTAGTCGCAGGTCTTGCCCTCAGCCCTTAGTTTGGCGCATGTAGCGTCGGCGAAGGGGAATGTACGCCAATCGTGGTACGGCGCATTGTTACCGCGGGCCATGACGATGACGGCATCGGCGCAGGGAGCGTCGAGCTTGGGGGCCGGGTCTTGAGCGACAGCGACGGCGGCGACAGCGCTGAGCGCGAGAATGTTGCGGATGATGGAAGACATTATTAAGAATTAAAAGAGTGTGGTATTAATCGGTCGTGAAAAAGCGAGTGTACTGGTTAGGTTACGAGGTTGGAAGACCTGTGAGAAGAGAGAAAGACCTCTTGGCTTTGGGGAAACAGAGTTTAATAAGTAGGAGCGTCCATTTTGCCTTTAAGCCGAACTGAGTGTTGAGTCTGCTCGACACGGCAGAAACGGGCGGAAAAGGGTATTGTGCCTGACTCGATACGAGTTGGACCCCTTTTTGGGTGAGCTAGCATCTATCTTGGGTTGTGCGCTAGCAGAAGCGCGGACAAACGTCGTATTATTAAGATTGAGGCTGCCAATAAGGTTTTGGAGGATGGCCCAGGGGCTGGATGTCCCCTTGATGGATGCCGTCAAAATCTGCCAAGTTTGCGAAATGGGTCAACGAGACACCGATAGTGACTGGTTTCTCCAGTTGGGAATGACGCGTCGAGAGATAGAGATCATCTGAGATGTTGCTGTTGAGGTTTGCATCGAAGCTGATTTTTACCTCATGGGATAAACCGGAAAACCGGAAAAATGCTAGCGTGCGTGTCAGTGCTTGATCGGTCGTCCACATACGACGCTATACGCGGTCGAGATGACACCCCGTGTGCGTGTCTGACCTCTGAGCTTGTCTTAGATAAGACTTGGTGCACGTCCCCTCGACGACCCGAGATGTCTTGGCTTTCGCCCCTGTACTAACGTTCGGCTGCATATCATTTGCAGCAAGCTGTTCAAGCGCTGCCTTCCACGTGCCATGTACACGTTAGTGTATGACATAAAATAGACTGTGATCTGCCCGTGTCCGATTCTTGCCAAGCTTACTATGTATAAGGGGCTCAGTTATAGCTTCAAGGGAGTTATGTTAGCTTCTAGAGCAGGCTAGCAGTACTGTGATATAATCAGCACAACTTGTAGCACTATACTTAGATACGGTCGGTGCCTAAGCGAGCACATGAGCGTGCCCATGACTGAAGATGCTTTGTTGCTTCAAAGGCTGTTAAAAGCTGCAAACGAGATTCAGGCGGAGGCGTGGCACAGCTGCAGCGGTTGGAAGCGTCCGATTACCGCCCACTGCAGCAAACAACCCGTAAACAGTACCTCGATACCTAGTTAATCGGACAAGACAACTAATTCTCAGTTTCTAATGGTCGTATGTAGCATGATTCTCGGAATAAATGTATAACACCAGCACATTATTAATGTTTGCGGGCTTCAGCAATACTTCGGTGCTCTGAGAGGGCTCACGCGATGTTACTATCGATAAACCTAGCTTGGCACGGCTGCACGGAACAGAAGTCCGCACGCTATACAGAGGTAGAAAAGGCAGCACTGCGAGCCATCTTCATGCGTCGGCATGTAAAGGTGTGGGCGCGGAGTCAATTTCTCACAATTATACAAGAGAGAATTAGGGACATCAAGAACTGTATTGTCACTCCTTTTCTCCTCCATAAGCTTCTTCAGTAATAATCCCGGACCCGAAGCCAATCACCGAGTCTGACCGATGCATGTGAATAAATTCTTGGATATATGAAGCATCCAGTAACTCCTGCCCCTGCTGCCTCAGCAGTGAAGTCAATGTCACTATTCCCTAAAGAGGATATCCGGATTACAATTTCCTCTCCTATTCAATGAACACACACCGTCCAGAAGCTCTCTACTCAACCACTGCCTAGGAAACCTCTCAGCGCAGTTTCGACTTGCTGGTCGTTGTAGCCCTGATCATGCATCTGCTGGATCATCTGCTGCTGCTGCTGCTGTGCATGCATACCCTGGCCTTGACCAACACCGCCCCTAGGACCCATCTGTGCACCTGGCGGTCCCGGAAAGCCGTGACTAGGTGGAATATTCGAACCGTACCCATTAGCAGTGTTGGGCGGCTGCGGATAAGTGTTGGGCGGCTGGGGGTAAGTATTGTTTGGTAGATGCCCAGAGCCGGGGTACCCAGGCGGTGGAATGGGATTCGCCTTGGCGAGAGCTGCCTTTTCTTTATCCCTCTTCTTCTGCTGCACAAGGGTGCCCTTGACACCGCGTAGATACTTGACTGCTGCATCTACAAGCTCCTTGTCTTCTGGTGAGCTCTTGAGAGCCTCCAGCATTTCACGGACTTGGGTTTCTGATTTGATGTGCGGACATGTACGGGAGTAACCGTAGTGCGCTAGACCACACAAACCACAGTGTTCAACACCTGCGACTTTGAGCTCGCAAGCACCTTGTGGATGATTTTTCAAACAAGCCGGGCAGGAATAATGACTGTAGGTACCATATGCTAATGCAAGCGGATTCCGAATCGGCAGTTGTACACGTTGGAACGGTTTGACTGCTGTCCGGTCAGTTTTTGATGCTTTTGGCACCTTTCGAGATGGATCTGAGGAAACGTAGGCCATGGCGGACGGATCTTGGAAGCCCGAGGTATCGGTAGATGACGGGGGGAAATGACCTGGTTGTGTACCACTGCCACGCTTTCTATACTCGTCGAAAGAAACCTTGAAGCCGCCTCTCGGTGGTACGATGGCCATGGACGTAGACGGCGGAGGGATGGAGACATCTGGAAATATTGGGGATTGACTTGAAAAAACACTGGACGCACCTGCGGCGTTCTGCTTATATGACGACAAGTTTGCAGTATTTTTTATACTTTGACGATGACCATCACCGAGCTCTCGAGCAACGTTGGCATCTTCATCATTCGAACCAGGCTCGCTCTCATCCTCAGACTCGGCTTGGAAGTCGGTGTCACTTTCAGAATCTCTCTTAACCTTCCGTCTCTTCTTCGACTTCTTGACAGGAGAGGGTGGCAGAGCGAGGCTGTCTTCGAAATGATCTTCTC